TCTTTCGAAGTCACATATGTTCATGGATATCCTCCGGAGCTTGTCCTACAGTTTACAGAAGTTAGGATGTGTGAAATTAATAAATTAATGGTTAATTTTTTGAAAACATAAATGGATTTGGGAATTTTAAGAGTACGGGAGAGTTAAAACATAATGTATTGAAATCAAAATTCTGTGTATATAATTAATGAGCATTTATTTCCACGATTTAATTAAATAAGATTTATGGATAACATTGAAGCCAGAGCGAGAGCAAGTCAGTTAAATATATACATATAGCATGTACTCAGTTGCAGAGTCAAAAGACTCTCAAAAGAGAAAAACTCGTGTCGTCGCTTAATTTGGCTGTGTGCTTAGATATATACAGCTATATAGCCGACATTTCCACTCCTCTCCTCGTAGGCGCACATTCGGTATACCCCTTCCACGCGTCTCCAAAATGTGCGCCTATATGGACATTTCCACGCGAATCCACTCTTTTCATACCCCTACCGTGCTTCTCGAATAAAGAAAAATGTGCGCCTGGTTCGGCCGCTTGGCCGCGGCGGGGCGCTTGAACCACTGGAAAAAAGTGGGCACACTCCGTAGGCCGTAGCATGACAGTCAGCAATCTCCCTAGCTCCCTACTAATCTCTGGCAATATTAGTAGCGATGCTTCCATCTTTTCTGCAGAGTGCTTGGCACTTATTAAAGCATTTGATTTTCTCTTAGCAAAAGTAAGCTATTCCTACCACATTTCTTCAGACTCATCAAGTGTACTTACAGCACTAAGCAGTTCTCTAGGCCTAAAATATGAGTCTTCACTACTTATTAAATTCAAAAACAATATTCTATAAGCATTAGGATAGGTTTCGTAAACAATGCATGAGTGACAATGAATCGAGCTTGTTAACTCTGTTTCAAACTAAAGGCACAAATTATCACAAATTTTTCACAACCCTATAATCAAACCCTGGTTCCATAGTTATAATAGGTTCATTTATCCACCTTGGAGCGCTCCGAGCGCTCCGAGGCCTCCAAGCGATCTAAGTATAGAATATACATAAATGAACACGAGTTCTTTGTCAGAGAACTCGGAGGCCTCCGAGATACTTACCTTTATGCAACATATTTGCCGAAATTATATTCGGGTGACTGCGACCATTCTACCGCCTTAGAGATAAAACATACAGCTGAAAACCCGACCAGAAATCCGAGCATAAAACGAGCAGCAAAGAATAGGATTCGGCTGAAATCGACTCCTCCGGATGTCGGTGTTGCCAAGAAGTTGAAAAAAAAAAAAATTAAATTAAAAAAAAATACTGCAACGTAACATGTTTGCTTTTCGAGCGCTGCATTAGACATTTTTTTCACATTTAACAATGCAACAAACCTTGAAAAAAGAACTTTTTTTTTTTTGTAGAACGAAGAATGGGTGCAGAAGTTACAAGTTAGATTTTAAGCAGGAGCTAGATTTTTTCTCTTCTTTCCAGACGTATACAAACTGTGACATTAACAAGAATAAAATTACAATAACTCAGATCGATTTTGAAAAAAATAACATTTTTGCCTTTATTGTATAAAAAGTGTAGCAGTTACATAGAATTTGTACTTCTTGGCAGTCAAAAGTTCTTCATTATTTCTGTTACTAGAAATTCCGTAATAATAGCTATTAACAGTACCAAAAATTTATTGTACTAATACATCCTCTTTTATTTTTTTGAAAAAACTATTTTTTCGGCTAATTTAGGTAAAATGTAACAGTATCAGTATTAAATAAGAGGTTAAAAACGCGGGCAACAAATGTTTCTTCTAGAAAAGAGGTTTCCTTACAGCTGTTATATTTACTTTTATTATATCTCAAGTACGAATTTGACGAGTTTCAAGAGCACTGTACTCATACTTAGATATTGTTGAGATTAACGACAAAGCGTGCTGAGTACACAAAATTTTCTAGTTGTTTACAGCTTTCGGTTTAGTTTTCATCTGGAATAGGAGACACGACATTATTAAAAACTGATTTTTTTTTAGTGCGATGGATCAGATATAGATGCAGAATATCTAACAGCAGTTACTGAACAGCACTTTTTTAAACTTTTTGTCATAAAATGTTTTGGATCCACCATAATTAATTCTTTTGTTGATAACTTTTTTTTTGCAAATCATTTTTACTACTGCTGTTTACATTCATTCGAGTGACCTTCCTGTTGTTTCCCACCTGTTGGCACATCGGATCCATCATCCTCATCTTCATCCTCATCTATATCATCATCATCATCGTCTCCTTCTTCATCGTCGTAATCTTCATCTTCTTCCTCAAGACCTTCTCCTGTAAAATTTACAAGTAGAATAATTATTTATGCCATAAAAATAGATATGATTGAGAAACATTCACATACATACCTGTATAATACAAAACAGCCCTAGGCACTATTCTTTCTCTAATGTAATGACCAACTTCGAAATCAGATGTTAATAAAACTTGAATATCCTCATCAACCTCTGCTTCAGAATCTTCAGGCACTGTAAATTATATGAGAAATGTATAGTATATGAGAAAACCTAAACTTGAAATTACCTATTGAAAATAGAATTTTTGAAATCCATACCAATTGGTGGTGTAAAGAAATTGAAAAACGAATCGTTTTGAACAGTTTTAGTCACTGTACGCATAGAGCCTCGTGACTTGTGTTTCTGATTTTTTTTAATCGTTTTGATTGTCACATTCTTTCCTTTTTTCCAATCAATAGAGCATCCCTGAAAAATGGAAAGATATTTGTCAATGTATTCTACTAGTTAAAAATTTTAAAACAATTTATTTTACTTTGCACTTAAAAATTTCAGGTCCTTCAAAACTGAATGGATCATCTTTCTCTGGAACACATTTCATATAATACTCCTTTGTAAGAACTGAATTAGAAAAGTGATCATTGGAAGAGAAATGAAATTCTAACACAAAACCCTAAAAATAAAATAAATTAGATCCAATTAATTTAAGACCTACAATAAAAACAGATACACTTTTTGAGTAACATACCATGGGATCTTTTTCTAAAAATATAACTTTAATGTCATACAAATGTTTCAAGATGGGCTCATCATGCTCTTGGACCATTTCTGCTAGCATACCAACATTTTTGAAAATCGTGAGCCAAAAGTCAGGAATGCCTTTAACATTTATATCTTCAGCTCTACAATAGATAAATAATGTTATCTATTTGGGTAAACTACATGACACCTTCTTAAGTTGTTTAATAAATTATACTTCTTAGAAACACTTGAGAGACAAAAAAAATTCATTATAAGAATAACAACTGTCAACTTTTACAACGAAAATGAATTCATTAAATGTTAGGTCATGATGATAAATACATTTTTTAATTATCAGAACAAATCAACAAAAATCAAAAATGATGAAAAATACTATGTGTCACATCATAAGTTGCACAAGTTTGCCTCATGCACAAGCTTAGCTATCAACTATTAATACAATCTAATTTAATGAAATTAATGAAGTTGTGGGAGACTTACAACATAAAACATCAAATCAAATAGTCAAACAAAATACGCAGTTATTAAGCTCTCAACAAATAGGAATAGTTCTGTTGATTTATTTTTAAGCAATACTCACTTGTCTTGTTTCACTGTAGCTTCATCTGCAACTTCTATCTTTACTTTAGATTTTAAATTTTTTGTTATCTCTTCTTCATCTTCTTCACTCTCCCATTCGCACTCTTCATCATTAGGTTCACAGATACCAGATACAATGTTACTTCTTTGCTGGTAAATAGGTGCGCACAACTGATAGTAACGACACTCTAGAGCATGCACTTCCTCGTAAAATTTGGCTTCGATGTTTGTCGATTTCAACTGAAGCTGCTTCAATGCTTTTATTCGTCTTTTCACACAGTCAGGCAGGTTCTGCAAAATTTTTAATTAAAAAAATGTTAGCTTGCCTTAAAAAGTCATGCTCGAATGTGAATATGATAAATAAACTTATCACAGCGTACATCAATATTGAAATCATTATCTCGGGCCTGCAGAGCTGCTAAAATAGATGAATGAATCTTTTTGTTAGATTGAGTACTCTTTTGAGTTTCCTCGTGCTCTTCTTCTGCTGCTGACTCCATGTCGCTGGTGTCCGCACGCTCTGGATCCGTTGTCATTTTGGCCAATAAAACTATAAACAAACACGTACGGTTATACAAAAATTGTTAATCAAAACATATGTAAGAGAGCACTTGAGAGAGAAATATCGCCTGGATTAAAAAAAGCCGGACCACGTGGTTAGGGCTGTACTTGTACATGAAACGAAAGAGCTGTTAATCAATCACGTGCCCGTATGTGTGCCTATAATTGAAGCATTGTGGCGAACTAAGTTTCAAGTTAAGCAAAAGAAGAAAGAACGATGCTATTACATTTATCATGTTGTCAATTCCTAAGATCCATGGTAACTGAACAAACGTAATCTGTTGATCATCTTCATATATTATCAACACAATCACACAGTAGCGTACCTACTAAAGCATGCGCTTTTTTTCCAACGACGATTATTGTGAGTATGCTTAATCAAGCAAAGAAAAGAATTTCTAAAAGTGAGGATAATGCATGTTAAGTACCTTTTTGATCAGATGGTCAGACGTCTATCTTTTATATAACAAAGTCTAGATTTTAAAATAGAGCACGCAAAGGGCCAAATCTATCTATGCGCGCATATATACCAATGCGGAGCGATCGCTGCCAGCGGGTCTTCCTGTGTCCTTGTCTAATTAAAGGCATGTAAGAAGTGTGTAGACTGTAGACTGCTCCTCTCCTTCCTATGTACCATAGATATGAGAAGTATAGACTGCTTGTTCTTATGTACGGCACTGAACGACTAAAGCACAAGTAGAGAGAGACACAACATCGAACGTGGGTATCTGTCTCTCTCGCACATTGCCAATGACAAGTTATGCCAAAGGTAGGAATGTGCGAGAGACACATACCCTCGATTGATGTTGTGTCTCCTTCTACACGGAGAAAACGAACAAGGTACTATTCTATGGTCCTCAAACCTAATAACTGCTCGATTACTTTTTCATGCTATATTACCTCAAATAAAAGCGATAATAGTCTGAAATTCACATGAAAATCAGTAAAGTCAGTAACTTGGCAATAATACGACCAACCAGCGTTGGGTTAGGCGGATTCAATATAGGAATTTTTTCCCTAGATCGTATATATATATAGCTATACGATCTAGGGAGAATGTTCTGTCGTGCAGACAGCACAGCAGTGAAAATGCATTGCTCAAGACACACGGAAATTAAAAATTGTAAAATTAATAACACAAGTGCCTATCACCCCATGACCCAGGGTGCTTATTGGCCACTCTGTGAAATAATAACATATTAATTAATAGCACGCAGGGTGCTAGCTGGCCTCTCTATTAAACGATATATATTATTAATTAATAGCACAAGCACCTATCACCCGATGACTCGGGGCGCTTACTGGTGGCTTTATTAAACGATATATATTATTAATTAATAGCACAATGGTCATCAGGTGNAAAAAAAAAAATGTATGAACATATATACAGATCTTAGTACAACTCCCTTCCTCCCTCCTTTCCTTCATACCGAACTCACCCATCGGCCGCACCTCCCCTCCTCGCCATACAAAGCCAGACGAAGACCGCAACTACATTTACTACATCGGTCCGACATTTCGACCACTCCATTGCCTTGGAGGGTAAACGCACGGTTATAAGTGTTGTAACGACCCGACCGGAAGCCAGAGCATTGAACGAGCAGCAAAGAATGAGATTTGGCTGAAATCGACTCCTGATGCCGATGATGCCAAGAAGTTAAAAAAAACAACAAAAAAAAACGAGAGGTATCCCTTTCGAAGTCACATATGTTCATGGATATCCTCCGGAGCTTGTCCTACAGTTTACAACAGTAAAGATGTGTAAAATTAATAAATTAGTGGTTAAAGCTGTACTGAAAACCTTAAAGAATAGTTCAAGCTAGATATTTTTTCAAAACATAAATGGATTTAAGAATGTTAAGAGTATACGGGAGAGTTAAAAAATAATGTATTGAAATCAAAAGTTTGTGTATATAATTAATGAGCATTTAGTTCCACGATTTAATTGAATAAGATTTACCTACATAGTATGTACTCGGCAGAGATTAGTTGGGAGATTGCTGACTGCCATGCTACGGAGTGTGCCCACTTTTTTCCAGTGGTTCGAGCGCCCCGCCGCGGCCAAGCGTCCGAACCAGGCGCACATTTTTTTTTTATTCGAGAAGCACGGTAGGGGTATGAAAAGAGTGGATTCGCGTGGAAATGTCCATATAGGCGCACATTTTGGAGACGCGTGGAAGGGGTATACCGAATGTGCGCCTACGAGGAGAGGAGTGGAAATGTCGGCTATATAGCTGTATATATCTGAACGCACAGCCAAAGCAAGCGACGATACGAGTTTTTCTTTTTTGAGAGTCTTTGGACTCTGCAACTGAGTACATGCTATATGTATATATTTAACTGACTTGCTCTCGCTCTGGCTTCAATGTTATCCATAAATCTTATTTAATTAAATCGTGGAACTAAATGCTCATTAATTATATACACAGAATTTTGATTTCAATACATTATGTTTTAACTCTCCCGTACTCTTAAAATTCCCAAATCCATTTATGTTTTCAAAAAATTAACCATTAATTTATTAATTTCACACATCCTAACTTCTGTAAACTGTAGGACAAGCTCCGGAGGATATCCATGAACATATGTGACTTCGAAAG